CACAACTCCCTTTACATGATCTAAGAGGAGCTTCAGATCTGAATCCTGTCAAATCAACCTCTTTGATTTCATCTTCAGCTACTCTCAGTTTGCTTTGAGGACCCAAAATTACTGACCAAAGGCCCACCATGCTCTCTCTTGCTTCAGGTCTTTCATATGGTTCTCTCTTTTTTATTCTTCCTGGAAAGTTTATGCTCTTAGCTCCCTTTAGTGTGGTCTCATTTTAGACATCATGACTAGGAAGCCTTCCCTGGTCCCCTATCTCCGGGTTTCATGGCCTTTTGTGTGTCCACACAGATCACTTCAAGCTGAGGGCTTTCTGTTCTGTTTTTTAATTACTCATTGATGGTTGCCTTTCTCATTAGAGTGTGTTTTGCTCACATAGACCAATATCTGGTGACTGATAAGTGCTCATTATATATTTATTGAGTGGCCAAATGGATGTCATGTATTTTAGAAACTTTTAATAATACTGAAAGATGGATCCCTAAATATATTTTATTTGGCTTCATGATGCTACTCTCTTCACTTATAAAATGAGACTGTCCTAGATGTCATAGTTTTATACACTTTTATGTGGAGGAAACAAAATTTAAGTAGTACAAATTCTATCTCTCAGAATTTATAGACTTTTTTTTTTATTAAGGAAAAACAGAAATAAATATTTTGTGGAAATTTGTTTATTTTGTCTGTGTAATAAAAACATGATCCTATAGCTTTCAGTTGGTAATTCACAGGAAAAATGGCAAAAGAGTTGGTGCATTTAATATGTAGAACCATGTACCAAAAGTAAGAAAATTATGTCTGAATGCTTATGAAAAGACATGATTCTATGTACCATTTTAACTTTGCTGGAAGAACTGCAGCAAACATAAGGACATTTCTAATTATTGGTTTTGAGCTTATAGCTCTTCATTCACCACTTCTCTCCACCAGCAGATTCCCCCTGAAGTGCTTTGCTGTTTTTTGATTGTTTACATTGATCACTTCTAACTGTTCTAGGATTTTTATGGTCTTTGTATGTATCTTTTTATGACTTTTATAACATATTTGATTTCTTGAATGGCCAGTAAAAGCTTTATTGTTAGGCTTTATGTATTTGAAAGTTCATATACAGAGTGTTCCAAACTTTAACAGCTGGCAGCTCAATTGATGTTTCTTTCTTTTCAGATTTAACCCATTGGAGTTAATAATTATTCAAAGTGTGTACACAATTTTTTGGACACCCTGTATATCAATCAGAATATTGGGTTATGCTGGGTAACAACTCAAATATGCTGGGTGGCATCAAATAACCAATTTTTATTTCTCATTCAATAATATATATTGTGGATCTCCAGGGGTTGGATTCATAATAACTCTTTAGGATACACGTTGAGAGAGTAGCTGCCATCTAGAATGTGGCCAACCACCAATGCCAGAGGGAAAAGGAAGCTTGAGTGTCTCCCACTGACCATTAAATGCTCTGGTCTGGTCTGGAAATGGCACATTTCCTTTGATCATGTGTCTCACTGACTAAAAATAGTCCCATGGCTCTACCCATGGGGATTTCTGGAAGTTCCTGGAAGACGGAAAACTGGACATGCTTTGTAAACTATGCTGACTACCGTGGTATGTTCCTGAAGTCTTCACTTCTACAATAATTTAAACTCCAAAAATTATTTTTAACAGCCTTCTGAGCAATTTTAAGAGTAATCCTCATAAATACCATGCCAGATTCCAAGAAAACCTGTTTACCTCATCCTCACACTCTTTGTCTGATACTTGTACACAAAGGCACAGTCACCCTGCTGAACGTTGGCACTGACTCTTGAGGTGTCCCTGCTGCACTGACATGTGACTTCACACATACATTTCCTTCTTTCTCTCAGGCATCAGAAAGAAAGGGGAAATGGTCGTTTACAGGATATATATTTAAAGACTTGTAAAGGAACATTTGGATCACAGAATCTGAAATTGCTTGCACTACTTAAAAAAATGCTTAAGCCTTGCTCTCCATATATAAGGATTGTAATTAGAAGACAGTAAATGTCAGTGGGCACAAAGGTATGGCGCTATAATTAGAATGGGGCCTCACTCTAGAGGTTCAACACAGGTCAAGGACCACCCATGCAATACAGAGTTCTCACAATGTACTGTATTTGTCTGTTTGTTTTCTTGTTTGTGTAGTCATAAGTGTATGGCTTTATCCACCCTTTCATTAGCAAGAATTTTAAGATTTTTTTGTGATTACCTCACCTTTTTTGGGGGGAGGGGGGCACCATTTAACATTGAGAGTGGAAGAATGGACTTTCAGTGGCAATTTGGTTACTTGCATTCCAAATGTGAATGGCAATTGACTTATTACTGGTGTTTTTCCCAAAGGACCCTTAATGGCTTTAGAAAGTTTGGTACACATGTTTGATTGTAGGCACAATGCTTAAAATTGGAAAGGAGAAAGTCAGCATTTCAAATTTTCCTATGCTACTTTGGGGATCTTTCTCACAAAACAATAATCTTTTCAAAGTCCTCTGTTTTGTTTTTTTTTAAATAGTTATGACATGAGTTTAATAATGCTTAATATTTTCCTCAGCTACACACTAGTTTTTCAAAAATTATCTTTGCTTTAATCAATAATAAATTATATCACCTATTAATACAGAAAGCCAGTGAAAGAAAAAAACAAAACAAAACAAAAACAAATCCAGCAACAGGCTGGTCTAGGTAAAATCTTCACTAGGATTTGAAAGGGCGAGGGCTATGCCCTCCCCTCCATCTTGCCTGTATCCTCCATGTTGGGGCCACATGCGGCCTTCTTCCTGGAAGCCCAGGCCTCTGCTGGCCACGCCCGGGATTTTAAACTAACCAATGACAATCAAGGGAAGTGCGCGCCATAGATATGACCACATCCTGTGTAACAAGACCCGGCTTACGCCTGGCCAATCGGCAGGGCCCACAATCCCCTCGCGTCACCCCCCTATTAAAGCTGGTTTTTCCCACGCAGGGGCACTCGGCTTCAGGTCACCAAGTTGGCCTGAGGCAGGAGTCGGGCTGGCCAGCCCCCAATAAAAGGACCTTCTGCTTTTGCATCGAGCTGGCTCCTAGTGTGGTACTTTGGGGATCTTGGAATCTGGGCATAACATTTGGGGGCTCGTCCGGTATCCTCAAACCCCATTCAGGGACCCCCAGCTCAGAGGACTTGGCTGACCGCGGTATGTGTCGTTTATGTTTGTATCTGTTTGTTTCTGTGCTGGGTGAGCTCACTTTCGAAATCTGTATTCGCCCACATTGATCGTGGACGCACGAGGGTCAAGGGCGGGAGGAGTTGGGGGACACCCCGGCCCTCCATCTGAAGGGGTGTAGCTTTGCTTCTGCGGAGTCGGAAGGCCTGTAGAAGTAGCTTTGCTTCTGCGGAGTCGGAAGGTCGGTAGAAGCCCCTTAATCTGAGACAGGTGGGACAGGCGGGTGGCTCCCGCTGGTTGGCCCGCAGCCATCGTTTTCGGTTTTTGCTTCCATGGAGTTGGAAGATTATTTTGGTTTCGCTTCCATGGAGTTGGAATACTGTATTTTAGGGCCCCTTAGTTGTCTGTGTTTGTGTTTTTTTGGTTTTATTTTGTGGATTTACTGGATAGACATTATGGGACAGACTCAAACTACTCCTTTAAGCATTATGGTCTATCATTTTAAAGAGGTAGAGGGAAGGGCCAGCAACCTCAGTGCGGAGGTTCGGAAGGACCGGTGGCGGGTTTTTTGTTCCAGGGAGTGGCCGACTTTTAATGTCGGGTGGCCACCGGAGGGGACTTTTGATCTCCCCACCATCCGCCGGGTTAGGGACATCGTCTCCCAGCCCAAAGAGGGACATCCTGGTCAACTCTCTTACATTGTTACTTGGCAGGACCTCGTGGAAAATCCACCATCTTGGCTTAGGCCCTTCCTACCTCCACACCCTCTGGAGCCAGAACCCATTCTTGCCTTGCAGGAAGCAGAGAAGAGGAAGGAGAAAAAAACCACCCTGCCGTCAGCTCCAGCTCCCCCCTACCCGGTTTTGCAGGGGGGAAACTGGAGAAGAGTTAATTTTTCCTCCCCCATATCATTTCCACAGGATGCCGGAGAGATTTGATCCTGCCCTGTTGCAGGAAGCTGACGCAGTTCCGGGAGTGCCTGGGGGCGGAGTTCCGGGAGTGCCTGGGGCGGGGTTCCGGGAGTGCCTGGGGGCGGGGTTCCGGGAGTGGCCGCGGTTCCGGTTCCGGTAGGAGGCCCGCCTCTCACCCGGCAAAGAGCTCAGCGGGAACTGTCTGTCGCAGCACCCGACTCCACTATCAAGACCCTGCCCTTACGGGCCGCTGGACCCCCGGATGCGGATGGCAACCAGCCCCATTTCTATTGGCCTTTCGCAACTAGCGATTTGTATAACTGGTAGGCACAGAACCCTAAGTTCTCCGAAAAGCCGGGGAGACTTATTGACTTGCTAGATTCTGTTCTTTTCACCCATCAGCCCACATGGGACGACTGTCAGCAGCTTTTACAGGTTCTGTTCACAACGGAAGAGAGAGAAAGGATCCTCAATGAGGCCCGGAAGATGGTTCCTGGTGTAGATGGAAATCCAACCACAAACCAGGCCCAGATAGATGTCTCTTTCCCTTTAACTAGGCCTGAATGGGATTTCAACACGGCAGAAGGTAAGGAGAGGCTCTCGGTTTACTGCCAGACTCTAATGGGAGGTCTCCGTAGGGCTGCTAGGAAGCCCACCAATTTGACCAAGGTAGGGAACGTACAGCAGGGAAGAGATGAGTCTCCAGCTGCCTTTCTAGAACGGATCATGGAGGCATATCGCACTTACACCCCCATGGATCCAGAAGCCCCTGAGAATAAGGCAGCTGTAATCATGAGTTTTATAAACCAGTCAGCCATGGACATTAGAAAAAAACTGCAGAGAATAGATAGATTAGGAGAAAAGAGTTTACAGGATTTACTGGCAGTGGCAGAGAAGGTGTTCAATAACCGAGAATCCCCTGAGGATAGGCGAGCCCGCGCCATGGTGGCTGCCAGTGACAAGCAGACCCGAAACCTGGCCAAGATTCTGCTAGCCACCACCACGGAGTCCCCTGAGGAGCGGACCCGCCGCCTTCGCCAGCTTGCTGATGGCCAAGAAAGAGGTAAGGGAACCGCCCGGGGCGGGAAAAAGCTGCAACGGAACCAGTGTGCTTACTGCAAAGAGACAGGGCACTGGGTCTGAGAATGCCCAAAGAAGGCCGGTAAAAAGGAAAACAAGACAGACCGGGTGGAGGTCTTGGAGCTGGAAGGACTGAGTGATTAGGGGAGTCGGGGTTTGGACCCCCTCCCCAAGCCCAGGGTAACTCTTAGAGTGGAGGGGACCCCTGTTGACTTCCTTGTTGACACTGGAGCACAACATTCGGTTCTCCGCACACCTCAGGGGAAGCTAGCTAATAAAAAGTCCTGGGTGCAAGGGGCAACTGGCATGAGCCAGTATTCATGGACTACCCGAAGAACAGTAGATCTAGGAACGGGCCGGGTATCCCATTCCTTCATGGTAATACCGGAGTGCCCCTACCCCCTTTTAGGACGGGACTTGCTAACCAAGATTGGAACCCAAATAACCTTCAGACAAGGGGGTCCTCAGGTTACCAATGGCGAAGGCCACCCCATCCAGGTTCTGACTCTGAGACTGGAGGATGAATATCGCCTACACCAGGGGGCGCTCCCAGTAGAGAACAATATGGACAGGTGGCTGCAAGAATTCCCCACAGCCTGGGCAGAGATGGGGGGAGTAGGACTGGCCGGTCAGAAAGCCCCACACGAATGACTATCGACCAGTCCAGGACCCCCGGGAAGTAATAAAAGAGTCCTGGATATACACCCAACCGTTCCTAACCCATACACTCTCCTAAGCTCTCTGGCACCCTCTAGAGTCTGGTATACTGTATTAGACTTGAAGGATGCCTTTTTCAGCCTGCCGCTAGCGCCTCAAAGCCAACCCCTGTTTGCCTTCGAGTGGCACGACCCAGAGGAAGGCTACAGTGGACAATTAACCTGGACGCGATTGCCCCAAGGATTCAAGAATTCACCCACCATCTTCAGACGAGGCGCTGCATGAAGACCTCAGTGAGTACAGGAGAGAGCACCCCAATCTCACACTCCTTCAGTACGTAGATGACATCCTGATTGCTGCCGATACCGCCAAAGATTGTGAGCAAGGGACCAAAGATCTGCTGGCCACCCTAGGGACCTTAGGGTACCGGGCCTCTGCGAAGAAGGCTCAGATATGCCAAAGGAGGGTGAGTTACCTGGGGTACATACTGGAGGGCGGACAGCGGCGGTTGTCAGACGCTAGAAAAGAGACAGTCTTGAAAATCCCTGCTCCCACCTCCTGGAGGGAGGTGAGGGAGTTCCTAGGATCGGCTGGCTATTGCCGCCTCTGGATACCAAGTTTTGCTGAGATCGCCAGGCCCCTATATGAAGCCACCAAGGAGGGGAAGGCCTTTAAATGGACTGAGACAGAAGAAATTGCCTTTAATCACATAAAGAAAGCTCTTTTGGCTGCTCCAGCCCTGGGCCTACCAGACATTACAAAACCCTTTCGCCTCTTTGTAGATGAGCGCAAAGGAGTAGCAAAAGGGGTTTTAACCCAGGCTTTAGGCCCCTGGAGTCGCCCAGTAGCATATTTGTCTAAAAAGCTGGATCCTGTAGCCGCCGGCTGGCCACCGTGCCTAAGAATCATTGCAGCAACCGCGCTCTTAGTCAAGGATGCTGACAAACTGACCCTGGGACAGGAGATCTGGATCACAACCCCGCATGCCATTGAAGGGGTCCTAAAACAGCCTCCTGATAGGTGGATGAGCAATGCTCGCATGACCCACTATCAAAGCTTGCTGCTCAACCCCCCTAGAGTACGGTTCCATCCCAGTGCTGCCCTCAACCCTGCTACCCTGCTACCTGACCCTGTCCTAGATGCCCCACTACATGACTGTGCAGGAATCCTGGAGCAGGTACATGGACTTCAGAAGGACTTGACCGATCGGCCCCTCCTGGATGCAGAGGCCACCTGGTTCACGGATGGAAGCAGCTTCGTGCGGAACGGGTGCAGGTACGCAGGTGCGGCGGTGGTTACCAACACAAACACTGTGTGGGCGGAGGCTCTGCCCCCTGGGACATCAGCTCAGCGAGCAGAACTCATTGCACTCACCAAGGCACTGACACTGGGGGCTGGAAAACTGCTTAACGTTTACACAGACAGCCGTTATGCATTTGCTACAGCTCATGTTCACGGGGCAATCTACCAGGAGAGAGGGCTATTGACAGCAGAGGGACGGACAAGAAAAAATAAACAGGAAATCCTCGACCTGCTCTCAGCCTTATGGCTTCTTGCCAAGTTAGCCATAATCCACTGCCAGGGACACCAAAAAGCCGATGACCCGGTAGCGAAAGGTAACCAAAAGGCTGACCAGGCTGCAAAGGCAGTAGCCCTTACCTCGGTCCCTACCATGGCCTTACAACTACCAGACCCAGGGGACCCAGTCTTACCAGACCAGCCCAAGTACTCCCAGGAGGAGTTGCAACGTATCAAAAAGCTCCCTAAAGCCCAGGAAATAAAGGGATGGTGGCATACACCAGAAGGAGAACTTATACTGCCGGACTGGCTCTGGGACACGATATTAAAACATATGCACCAATCCACTCACCTGGGAACCCGGAAAATGAAGGACTTAATCCAACATGCCAGGATCAAAATTCACCAGCAGAATACCAAGATAGATCAGGTTGTGTCTGCCTGCAAGACCTGTCAACTCACAAACGCAAGGGTTGGATCAAATAAAAGAGGAACCAGGCTCAGAGGCACCAAACCTGGAGCGCAATGGGAGGTCGACTTCACTGAAATTAAACCAGGGAAGTATGGTTATAAATATCTTTTAGTATTTATAGACACCTTCTCTGGATGGGTAGAGGCATACCCAACCAAGCATGAAACAGCTCAGATGGTGGCCAAGAAGCTGCTGGAAGACATCTTACCCAGGTATGGTTTTCCTGCTATGATAGGATCCGACAACGGGCCAGCCTTTATTTCACAGGTAACACAGGTAGTAACCAGGGCTATTGGGGCAAATTGGAAACTACATTGTGCTTATAGACCCCAGAGTTCAGGTCAGGTAGAGAGAATGAACAGAACTCTAAAAGAGACCCTTACCAAATTAACCATGGAGACTGGCGGGGACTGGGTGGCTCTCCTACCGTATGCCCTTTACCGGGTAAGGAACTCCCCTTACACCCTGGGCTTTACTCCCTATGAAATCATGTTTGGCAGGCCACCCCCTATCATTCCTAACCTTAAAGCTGACTTTCTCGCTGAATTTGAAAATCAAGAACTATCTCTTTCCTTAAGAGGGCTCCAGAGGGCACACGAGGACATTTGGCCACGCCTCTGCGCCATCTATGAGACCAGCCCAACCCCAACTCCTCATCGACACAGACCAGGAGATTGGGTCTACGTCAGAAGGCATCATCAAGAAACTCTTGAGCCACGTTGGAAGGGTCCCTACACTGTGGTGCTAACGACCCCCACTGCTCTCAAGGTAGACGGCGTCGCGACCTGGATCCATCACACTCACGTCCGGTCAGCGGACCCATCCATGGTCCAAAAAGACTTCATCACCAAATGGAGCGTCGATCGAGATCAACGCAACCCGCTCAAGCTCAAGCTAAGGCGTGCTCCACCTGCCTGATGCTGGTAACATGACTCGCGATCACTCCTGTCGCCAGGAGCCCCCACAATAGACTTAGATGATGCCTGCATCTTCATGGACATGGCTCCAAAGAGACAGGGACAATTTATAGGAAGGCCAAAAATAGACTTTAATAGGATGTGGCTGCCTGAAGCAGCCATGATGTCAATATCATGTTTCATTGTATTGATATGTTATATTAACCTTTAATTCTCTTGCAGGTTTGAATGTGTGCTGGCTGTCCTGGAAGGGAACTATGTGGGGTGACCCCCAAAAGTAAAGAATAGCTAGCTGCCAAGAGGACAGGTGTCCAAATGGGCAGGAACAGTGCCCATCAGGTTTTGGCCTCTGTTGAGAGACAGCTAACAGTTGGCAGCCTGTAATACTGTCTTGCAGGCCTTTGTGACCATGCCCATGTCAGGGGTAGTAAGCTGGAAAAGGCCTGTTTAAAATAGAAAGTCTGAGGCATGGTTATGCATAGAAAGAAAATTTAATGCCAACAATTACTGTTTTATCAAAAATAATTGGCAAGGAAAGTCAGAAAATCTTAAAGTAGATCAGTATGTCTTTCTTCTTATGCAATTCCTCCGAAATTTGGCAATGCTAACATGGCAATACATTTCTTTGCATAGATTCAATAAGACCGGTTCCTAATAGTGGTTTTATTAACGGAAAACTTTGACTGGAGTATCATGTTTTAAAGAGCCCTGTCTGAGCTCTAAAGACTTGAAGCCAGTAAAAATGCCACGAAGAAAGCCTGGTATCCTGCTTGGAAGCCCTGAAGATGGCTGGCGCTGGAGTGTCAGGCCCATGCCCTACCATCATTGGCGGTTGGTAAGAGTAGAAGGGGAGCAGTAGGGATGCCTCTGCGTTTCTGCGGAACCCCCACACACTCTGGGCCGCAACAAGTAGGAGGGCTACTGAGATGGGCTTAAAGCCTAGGGCGTGGGCTCAGGTGGAGTTGCTACAGGTGAGAGACTCACCTAACTCAGCAGATACTGCAGGCAGGCCTGATGGCAGCTGGATGGCTTGGCTTCCTGGCCCTACGGGGCATATTAAGATTCAACCATGAGATTCCAGCAAAGGTAGTCAATTACCATTCTTGTTGTGCTTATGCAAACATCAGGACAGTAGATAAATTAATCCTAATTTGGCTTTTTAATAGCCATGGAGGAATGTTAAGAAGAAAAATCCTATTTCAATAGAAGTTGTTAAAGATAAAATGGTTTCTTTCCCCTCCACCAGACCATTTGTTAAGATATGCCCAATACAGGCCTCTAGCAATGGTGGAATAGAAATGCAGTCCGACTCATGATTGAGCCGGAAGTTCCAAGACAAAGGGGGGAATGAAAGGGCGAGGGCTATGCCCTCCCCTCCATCTTGCCTGTATCCTCCATGTTGGGGCCACATGCGGCCTTCTTCCCGGAAGCCCAGGCCTCTGCTGGTCACGCCCGGGATTTTAAACTAACCAATGACAATCAAGGGAAGTGCGCGCCATAGATATGACCACATCCTGTGTAACAAGACCCGGCTTACGCCTGGCCAATCGGCAGGGCCCACAATCCCCTCGCGCCACCCCTCTATTAAAGCTGGTTTTTCCCACGCGGGGGCACTCGGCTTCAGGTCACCGCGTTGGCCTGAGGCAGGAGTCGGGCTGGCCAGCCCCCAATAAAAGGACCTTCTGCTTTTGCATCGAGCTGGCTCCTAGTGTGGTACTTTGGGGATCTTGGAATCTGGGCATAACAGATTCTTTTTCTTTTTTCTTAGACAGAAACTACAAATGAATTGGAGTGTGGAGCGGAGTATAATAGTGACAGCAGTGTGCCTGCTGCCTACCAAAAGTTGAATTCAGTGTTAGAATGATGATTACTAGCTCTGAAACAGAAACGCTGCTGAATTCCCTGATTACTAGCTAATCAGTTGCTAAAGGTATTTAAACCAGCCACTCTGTTTCAGCCATGAAATTACAAAGTGATGCTTAAGATTTAAAGGGACACTGAGCCCTTCTCCCTAACCCCCATCCCCCAACACCCCCAAAGGTTAAATAAAGTATTAAAATAATTCCGTGTGTGTGTGTTTGTGTTGCATGTATGTGCATGCATGCCTATGTGCAATCATTTACCTTATTCTTATTGAAGCAGAATTCATTTGAGTGTGTGGTTTTCTGAAAGGTCAGTTTTGAACTATAGAATGATGTCCTTGGAAGGGTTCCTAGAGATTATAAAATTCTGCTTCCTAGCTGTGAACAAGATTTATCTTCATAGATTCTGTGTTGTCATTTGAATTGCTTAGGTTCTGTCTTAGGTAATATATGTTCATTGGTAAAGATTTTTAAAGTTATGGAAAATAATAAAGAAAAACTTGCTCAAAATTTTTGATATTTATTTTTCATTTTTCAAAACATATATGTATTTTTATTGATATACCATCTTATTAAATCACACTGTACTTTTTTATATAACCTAATATTTTTATAAACATTTTGTAGCATTAAATTTACTTTGTCACAGACCTGATTACTGGGTAGCAGTCAATTGAATAAAATCTACAAAAGTGCTTATGCCATCTTTATTATTGGACATTTAGATTGATTCCAGCTTTTACTACTAAAACATTGCAATAAACATCCTTTTACATAATTATTACTTTCTTAAGATAAATGGTTAGAAATTAAGTTAGTAGGTCAAAGGACATGCCCTTTTTAAAAGAATTTTAACATATTGTTAACTTGCTTTTCAGAAAGTTTATACAGGTTTTCATGAATATTAGCAGCCTATAGAAGAACCCATTTTCATAACCCTCAGCAATATTGAATATCAACCTTTTAAAAATATTTTTCAGTGGATAGGTGAACATGGAATTTTACTGTCTCCATTTTCATTCCTTTGATTTCTATTAAGATGGAACATTTATCAAGAATTCCTATAGATTTTTTTTTGAATTGCCAATTAATGTCCTTTCTTTATTTCCCCTTTGGGCTATTTATTTTGTAATTATTAGTAGGGAATTATTTATGTAATAAGAATATTAGCCTCTTCATCTTATGTAATGCATCTTTAGGTTCTGGATTCTGGTTTACATTAGAATTTCTTTTGTCTTTTTCTGTAATTTGAACTGAGAACATTGACTTTCAGCTATAATATTTAAATATGTAGCCTAGATAAAGGAATTTAATTTTAGGGAGAGAAAGGGATGGGGAATTGGGAGGAATAAACTGGAGAGATTAAATGAAGTGATCTGTTACAATGCTGCCATGCCTAACCTTCTGTGATTCCATTACTTCCCAAATCTCTCCTAATTGCTGATTATAACAAGCCACATGATACTTTTGTGTGTGTGGTTTAACTGATATTTTTAATATGATAAGAATAATTAGATATTTGTTTAAAGCTGAATCTGTCCATAGATGTCCAAGTCCATACAAACACAAATTAATGATTTCTTAAGCCTGGGTTCCCTATAATTTGAATGAATTAATTTTAATTGAATGCATGGGGGCCTTTATTTTGATATGTCATTATTTTTTATTGAATTCATTGGGGTCATGTTGGTTAATAAAATTACACAGGTTTCAGGTGTACAATTTTATAATACATCATCTGTATATTGTATTGTGTGTTTACCACCCCAAGTCAAGTCTCCTTCCATCACCGTTTATCCTCCTATACCCTCCTCCACCTCTCTTCAGTCCTTCCATATGGTACTTTTTTGATCTTGTATATTTTGGGCAAGCATTACCATTGGTTATTAAATCCCAGTGCTACAAATTCAGGGTTTTTTTTAAATGAAGAAACTTCTGCATGTCTCCAGGGCTTTTTTTATTCTGTTAAACTGTTATGAGCCAATTCCATTTAAAAAACATAAGTAGCTTGAAAAAAAATGGCGGAGGTATAGACTGACGTGTCCCGTACCTTGTCCCGGAGCAGATAAGGGTGAGCAGCTGAAGCGGGTAACATACAGCCCAAATAAGCAGAGGATATTCAGCTGGGAGACAGTTTGCAGCTGGGAAAGGCGGAGGACTCCTGGAGAAAGGGGATGGTTGGAGACGGCGGCTGAATCTCTCCTGGAGCGCTGGCTCAGCCGCAGAGACCACGCCATCTTGAGTGGCTGTTACTGGAAGCGTATACACCCAAAGACCCAGCATCCAGAGATCGGCTGCTAACCCGGAAACACCGGATCTGGGACAGCGCGACTACGTGGAGCCCTGCTTCTTCTCACGGAAAGGTCAGACTTCGCCTGAAGGTGCGGTTTGCAATTCAGTTTGGGGAGAGGAACGTGTACGGGGAGGTCTGCGCCCCACAAAGTCTGCGGCCTTTGGGGCCAGTGTGATCCGCGAGTGTGGAAGGGCTCCCACAGGGCTGCTGGCAGAAGGGAACACTAAAAATAAGCCCATAGCTGGACTGGATGCAAAAAGGCAGACTCAGATTTTGCCAGTGTGCCGGCTGCTTGGTGCCAGGGGAGAGAGGGCGCGCGGAGGAGACTTCTCACAGAGCTGGAAGGTGGTGGGTTGCGAATTCAGGCAACTTCTCAGGCTCTTGTTTTTATCTCCTCTCCTTAAATCTTTGCCTTTGATTATTAAACCCTGTGCATGGGATTGCCCAGTTGGGGACACTCGCAGAGACTGCAGGGGAAACTTGTTTTTGTGGAAGCTGGGAAACAGAGCTGGGAGTAATGATTAAAGAACCAGCTCTGGGCAGTGGACTTTCCCAAACCAGTTTTAAGTACAATAGAGAAAATAAACTCTAACTACTGGATAGAGAGGACTGATAGCCTCGGAGGTCAATCCAGACACACTGCCACCCAGAGGTAGAGCCACGAACTGACTCTTCTGTAAACACAAATAAAGGCAGTCTGGGAAACAAATACAGCTTGCTTTAAAATCAGGACTGTGGTTTACAACACGTAGGAACAGTGTATCGCAGGGAAATTCAACACCCTCCTGAATACCTGGCAAGACTAAGGCATGCCAGATAGAAGAGTAGAAGAACTGAAGGACCTTCACTACTGCACGTTTTTATTTTTATTTTTTTATTATTCTTTTTTCACCTTTTAATTAAGAAACCAATTTTTGTTTCTTTTTTCATCACCTGATTTTACCCTTTTAATTACTACACTTTTATTTTTAACCACTATTATTACTACTACCATTTTACCATTTTTTAAAGTGTCATTTTATTTTTTCTTTATTTTATTTTGGGATTAGTGTTCTACATCCTATTTTCATCATTCCTCTAGCATCATTTTTCTCTACCTCAACATTACCTTTATGCCAAAACTCTCTTCCTCACTTTCCCCCTTTTGTTGTCCTGTTTCTCTTACCCCATTTCTGCTTTAGATTTTCCCTATTCCTTCTTTTTACCCCCTGTCAAAATTTCACCCTACTTATATATCCAATTTCCAATCCCCTGCTCTAAATCCATATACATCTCTCCCTTATCTTTCTTCACTATCCAAATTTTTTCTCTCTCTGTTGTTTTGTCGTTGTTTGCTTGATTGTTGAGTATATTGGGTTTTGTATTCTTGTATGTGAGGTTGTTTTGCTTTTTCTTTTTATTTTTCTGTTGGTTTTTTTTCTCTCTTTTTTTTTCTTTTCCAGTTATTTTTATGCTTCTGTTTTCCCTTGCCTTGCTTGATATTAGTGGTTGTTTGTAGTTTGCATTTATCTCCAGGGATCTGTTGCTAGAATTTGTTGGCATTAGTGGTGGTTCTATCAGAGTTTTCTCCCCATATAAGTAGTCTCTTCCCCTCTTCTATTTCATTCTCTCTCTTTTCTCTCTTACTTTTTTCCCCCTTCCTTTTCCCAATTTCATTTTTGCACTCATTTTTTTGTTCTTCTCTTTTGTCTTTTTCTCTTCTTTCTTCCTTATCCCCTAATTCTCTTTGCTCGGGTGGTCACCTTTATTTGGGGTTATTAATGTCGTGAATACATTTGTGTTCAGTGCCTTCTGCGTTGTGCCTTGTTGTGTTGCATTTTGTGCCTTGAAATCAATGCAGCAGAGAGAGAACTACATAAGCAAACACCTGGAGAAGAGAGATCATGGGGAAACCAAGAACCAGCCCACATATGAGAGAAAAACAGGCATCACCAGAAAAAGAAGTAAACGAAATGGAGGCAATGGAGGCAAGCAACCTGTCAGAGAAAGAATTCAGGGAAATGGTCATAAGGTGGATGAAAAGAATGGAAGACAAATTCGACAATATGTGTAAAACCAAGAGGAAATGAAAAATGACATCACTGCTATAAAGAACACAATAGAAAGCATCAACAGTAGACTAGAAGAAGCAGAGGACCGCATCAGTGAGCTAGAAGACAAGGTAGGAAAAAAATACCCAAGCAGAGCAGCTTCTAGAGAAAAAAAATTAAAAAGCAGGAGGAGAGCCTGAGAAAACTCTGGGACAACACGAAACAAAACAACATCTGCATAATAGGGGGCCAGAAGGAGAGGAAACTGAGCAAGGAATAGAAAACCTACTTGAAAAAATAATGACAGAAAACTTCCCTGATATAGGGAATACAAACCTCACACAAATCCAAGAAGCTCACAGAGTCCCAAACAAAATGAACCCCAAAAGACTGACGCCAAGGCACATTATAATTAAATTGTCAAACACCAACGACAAAGCAAGAATCTTAAAAGCGGCCAGAGAGAGACAGAAAGTCACCTACAAAGGAGCCCCCATCAGACTAGCGACTGATTTCTCAACAGAAACACATTAGGCAAGAAGGGAATGGAGTAAAATAAATAAAGTCATACAAAGGAAGGGTCTGAATCCAAGAATACTGTACCCAACAAGGCTATCAATCAAAATTGAGGGTCAAATCAGGTGCTTCACAGACAAAAAAGGACATCGGGATTTTATTA